CCCCGAGCCCCGCACCGCCGCCCTTCCCCGGGGCTGGCCACTGCAGCCCCCGGAGCCCCGCACGGAGCCCCGCACGGAGCCCCGAGCCCCGCACCGCCCCGAGCCCCGCACCGCCCCGAGCCCCGCACCGCACCGGCCCCGCTCCGCACCGAGCCCCGCACCGCCCCGGCCCCGCTCCGCACCCCTCCGGGCCCCGCACCGGCCCCGCACCGCCCCGAGCTCCGCCGGAGCCCCAAGCCCCGCTCCGAGCCCCGCACCGCCCCGAGCCCCGCACCGCCCCGAGCCCCGCACCGGCCCGAGCCCCGCACCGGACGGGGCCGCGCCCGGCGGTTCCGGGGCTGTCCGATCCCCGCGCCCCGCACGTCTCACCCCGTCTGTCTGTCCGTCCGTCCGTCCGTCCGTGGGGCTGGGGCGGGTCCGTCCCGCGGGGGCTCGGGGCCGCCCCGCGGGGCCGCGCGTGGGGCAGCGGCGCTCGGGCAGCGGCGGCCGCGCTCACGCAGCGCCCGGCCCGGCCCGGCCCGGCCCGGCCCTCACCTGCCCCGCCTCACCTGCCCCGCCTCACCTGCCCGGCCCTCCCCTCACCTGCCCAGGTGCGCTGGGCGCAGCCGCGCCGCCCGCCCCGCCCCGCTCCCGCACCCCCGCCCTTCTGCCGCGACCCTTTTCCTGTCAAACGGAATATTTAGGGAACTTCCAAACGGGATATTCCGTTTCCCCGGTAAATGGAGTATTTAAGAAAGGAGGTTTGCTTTTAAGCAGGATATCTTTGCCTTTAAATGGAATATTTTGGAAAGAAAGCCTTAAGTTCCTGGGCTTTTTCGCAGTTCAAAGCATTCAGCTGAGTCATAGAATCACGGCATAATTAAGGCTGGAAAAGCCCTCGAAGATCATCGAGTCCAAACATTAACCCAGCCCTGCCGGGTCCACCACCAAAGCGTGTCCCTTGGCACCACATCCGCAGGGTTTTGAGCACTTCCAGGGGCACTGGCTCTGCCGCTTCCCCTGGCAGCCTGTTCCAGAGCTTGTCCATCCTTTCAGTGAAGAAATTATCCCAAATACCCAATCTAAACCTCTCCTAGCACAACCTAAGTACATTTGCTCTTGTCCTACATCCATCCATCCATCCGTATAAATCCATATCCACTCAATGGTAACACATGATGAAGCCAAACCCTAAAGTCAGCTCCGATTAAAGTCACAGGCTCACAGTTTTTTCTCTGAAAAGCAGAAAAATGTCCCTCTTCCCTGCTCCATGCCCGCCCTGGGGTCACACATACCCCTGGGAGGGGGCTCAGCAGCTTCTCCCGGGTCCCTCCGCAGGCTCCTGCCCTCCAGCCTCGCGTCTTATTTATTTTCCTCGTAGGTGGAGAGCTGTGACTCAGTGGTGAATCTTGGTTTCAAGGATCATACAATACTTCACCTTTCAGTTTCAATGAACCAGAAAAAAAAATGGGAATTTCCCTTCTCCTTCTCCCCACGAACACTGTGGAAAACACTGAGCCCTGACTTTGGGAAGGCTGACTTACACCCACAGCTCAGTCCCGAGCCAAGAGGTTGGAACTAGACAAAATCTTGGAGATATTCACACAGAGACTAAACAATTCACTGCTTTTCTGGGGAACTTTGCCTTGCTGGATACCAAGTGCAAATTAAATATTTCAGGCTTCATCCAGCATGGAATTCCACTCAGAGGAAACATGCAGAAGTTTGTCTGCTGCTAAGAGAATCTTTCTGGCAGTAAGCACAAGACAAGGTGTGACACTCCGAGCTCAGCGCTGTCTGTGCTGGGTGAGATGGGTTTCGGTAGTGGTACCTGAGCACTCCTGATGTGTAAATCAAGGCACAGCTGCTCCTGGGGTAAACCACCCTTGTTATTCCTGCTGTATAAAGCACGCAGGGGTAGGACAATTTTGGGAGCAGCCAGGAAGAGACACAGGGAGGCACTGGGCTGAACTCCAGGCCAAGCTCTGAGGGATCTTTGATCTCTCCTCAGACGGGCCAGCACATCCCTGCATTCCTGCTACCCACAGCTCTGATGCTGGGACACAGGCAGGGCAGGATGCTCTGGCTGCAGGGAGCTCTGCAAGGGGACAGCAGTGGTGCTGCTGCTGCTCAGGCTCCTGCTGCCTGGGCTGGCAGTGCCTGGGCAGGGCTGGCAGTGCCTGGGCAGGGTTCTGCCCTTCCTCAGGTGCCCAAGCCACAGGAGGGGTCCTGGGGCAGGTCAGGGCTGGGGGATTTGAAGAAATGGAGCAATGTGGAAAGCAGCTGGGTGAGGACTGCTCCAGCTTGGAGCTCCAGCCCGGGAGAAGGGTCCGGTCCTGCCCGCAGTGCCCCTGCAGCTGGTCCCCTCTGTGCCAGCTGTGCCTGCCAGCGCCCTGCTGCCTCTGCCACAGCCTCTGCTGCCTTCCCAGCACCGACACAGATGCCAAACAAATGAGTCTTCCCAGCCCTCTGCAGGGTTTGGTGGTTTTTTCCCTGTTGAGTTTCTACCAGCCCTTGCTGAAGCGTGTGGCAGCACGTTGGGGTAGGCAGCTGACGGGAAATAAGCTGCCTTTTTCCATGCTCTTGGCTGGGAAACTCGGCAGCTCTGGAGCTGCAGGGGTGATAATGCAGGATAAGTCATGAGGCAGGAGGGGCAGTCAGATGTTACCTGGCTGGAGCTGATCATCCCAAATGTTCCTCTGGCACAACACAGAGCGCTGATCCTGCTCCTTCAGGCAGACAAACAGCACCAGCCTCTGCACTGCGGTGTTTTCTAGAAATTAATCTTTTTATTTTTACCTCTCTCTGCCGATATTTACCTCTACCTGCATTTTGTTTTAATCAAATGGAGATCTTTTGGCTGATAAACTTATGAAGTGACATCCTGCTGGCTGAGACAGCAGCTCTTTCAGTGCAGTCTGCAGAGCACACAGAGGATGTGCAGAGGAATATTCATACCAGGAGCTATGGGATTTACTTTATTTCCGTGCCAAATTAATATCACTGTTTTATCAACACAATTGTATGTCATGATGCCTGAACAGCAGCAGCTGGGCTTTGTACTGCAGGTCTCTTGCAGCCCTTTGTTCCCAGCTGGAGAAGATTGCAGTCATCAAAACAAAAAGGAACCATTTTCTCTCCTGGGAACAGATCACCAAGTTCCCATAAGGCAAAACAAAATTATGCAATGAGCCAAGACAATGTCCTGGGCATGTGGAGTCTTGCTGCGTGCTCTCAGCACTCACATTCCAGCAGGCAGCTCCGTGCAGGAGAGCAGCACAAAATGGTGGAGAGGCTTCGCCCAGCACACCCCAAACTGCCCAACTGTGCTGCAGGAAAAAGGAATGAATCCTTCCCACCCCGTCCTGGCAGCCCCTCTGTGCCGGGGGCTCTTTGTGACCCAGGGAGAGCTCCTGGCCTCACCAGCCAAGATAATTCCAAAATGATATAAAATCATTTATAAACATGACTGTGGCTACCAAATACTTCTTTCCAGTAGCCCTAGAAGAGGAAAATGGGGGCATGGATTTATTGCTGTTTTTCTGGCGGGCAGCCCCACAGCTGCTCTGCTGTGGACGAGTCAGGGGCTGAAGCACTCCCAAAAGGAAGGGTTGAGTTCATTATTGTCTTGCATTCTTCTAGGCACAAGGATAGATAAGACTATCATTAGATAAAAATGCTTTAACTGAAATAGAACAGTCTTACATTTTCTGGCAACTTCTCTGGCCCTTCCCATCCATCTCCAGGCTGCTGCTGTGTTTTCTCTGTCCTCTCTTTGCTCTTCTTTTAAGTGAAACCAAACCTTGCCTGGATATCCTTACATGTAAAGGTGTAAGGCTGTGTTATACTCCTGCAAATCTCTGTGTGTATATATAAATATAAATAAATAAATAAAAATAAATAAATATATATATATATACACACAGTACCACTGCCGGGTCACTTGCAGGTGTGAGTGGATTCAGACCAAATCCCACTCTGACAGTGCAGCATGAATTGCTCCACTGTTCTGCAGTATCAAATTCAAATTACAGCCAGGTTCTTAACCAGTATTCTTCCGTGAGAGAGGCTCTTCTTACCTAACCAACACCAAAAAAGTTCCAAAAAACGAGCAGCTTAAATCCACCTGGGCCTTGGCATTTAGGCTAAGGGAATCTATGGTTTCCTATTAATGCTGCTCCAATCCTCTTAATGAAGATATTGGGCTGGCTTGGGCACATTTATAGCTCAGGTCATTCTTTCCTCTGACACAGATAGTGGCTGGGCTCAGAACAATTGCTGTGTGCAGAAAGCTGCTGGCTGCTGAGGAGGAGGAGAGGGCTCTGTGTGTGCTGGACAGGAGCAGCCAGCCCAGGGAAGAGCTGCACTTTGTGTCTATCATCAAAGCCAAAAATCAGCGGGGGGAAGGGGTGAGCAGGAGGATTTCCATGGACACGAAGAGGGGAAGGGAATAAGGAGAATATGCTCTAAAAATACGGAAATAAACAATCCCTGCTCTCCTTAGCTGAAAGCTTTAAGAAGGAGATGTGGCAATAAGAGGAATATGTGTGCATTAGGTGCCTTCACTAATTGTGTCACAGCCTACGGAGGCATTGCATTAATTTAATCCATCAGCAGCTTTTCCTGTGGAAGTGTTTGTTTTCTCAGCATTCCCTCTCTGTAGCTGCTGTTTTTCCTATGCCCCATCTCACTGAGGCACTGAGCAGCCCCACAGGCAGGGAATACAAGCCAGCATTGCAAAGATTCATCTTCCTTCCCCCATAATCCCTTTTTTCCCCCTAGAAAACTCTACAGGACTGAGAATGGGGCTGTGTGTTGTGTGTGCAGGGAACCTCCGCTCCCGAATTCTTTGACAGGGAGGAATTAATGTGTGGAAAGACCCTGAGCCCCTGGAGTTTGCTTCTAAATAGGGCACAGCTCGGAACATCTGAAGGTCTCTGGGGCTCATGGGTGGGAATCTCCTAATGATCTTTAGTTATTTTTATCCCTGCCCAGTGCTCAGTGCTCGGGGCAGAGGAGCCACTCCGAGATCTCCTGGGAGCACACGGAGCTGCAGGAGCTGGGCAGGGGAGCAGGAACAGAAAATAAAGCACAAGAAGGGGAAGGTGACAGGGCAAGACACAGCACTGACATCAGAGAAAGGCAGGAGACAGCAAGAAGGAAAACAGCAAAGGACTTTGGCAGGGTTTTTCTTCTTTTCCTTCAGTTTTTAATCCTGCTTTCCGGAGGAAAATGGGACAGCAGTTCACCAATGCTGAAGGGGAGCAAGGAGAGATTGATGTTGCAGAGCTGCAGGAATGGTATAAGAAATTTGTGGTGGAATGTCCCAGTGGGACCCTCTTCATGCACGAGTTCAAGAGGTTCTTCGGGGTCCAGGACAACCAGGAGGCAGCAGAGTATGTGGAGAACATGTTCAGGGCTTTTGACAAGAACGGGGTAAGTGCTGAGAAGGTTTTACAGTTATTTATTTATATTATTAAATACGTAACAAGGGACCAGTGAGGGCAGGAGAAGAGCACAGGCTGGCCTGGATTTATCTCCTCAAATCTCCACCTAAATTAAGGTCAGAATGTCCCCTTAAGGGACTAAGGGTGGATTAAAAAGTTGAAACTTAGGCAGTCACACTTTGAAACCCTCAAACAGCCAAGGTTCCCACATGGCAAAAAAATTTTTCTCTGTTGAGGTAGAGGGGAAATTCCTGTGCAGGAAAATCCTACTCAGGCTTGTCCTGTGTTGGAGAAGTGTCAGTATCAGGTACGAGCAGGTGGTTTGTAATAAAATACCAATTTTAGCTTTGCTTTCCAAAAGCAGAGGAATGCTGAACAATTCAGACATTCTGGGTTTGATTCCCTTTGCTGTATTTGCCATGAGGCACCTGGGAAAGGTGAGTTCTGTGGTGCAGCCCCAGTTGTGCATCCCTGCACTGCTGCACTGCAGCCCGGGCTGCTCTGGGCTCTCGGCTGCCCTGGCTGAGCATCTCTTGCCAAATGCCTCAGTTATTCTTTTCCTGGAGCTCCTGATCATATTCCAGCTGCTCTGGGGATGTTTTTTCCTTGCATCAATACAGGAAAAGGGGGCTCAGCTTGTTCATCTCTGATCAACCCATCTCCCTTAAGCTCCCTTTGAAAATAGGGTCAAAATCTCATTGAAGTGGCAGCAAAAGTCAGTTTGTGGGAAGGATTTAAAAAGGCCGTGGAAGATGTTGGCAGGTCGGGCTTGTTGCAGAATTCCATGTTGTGAAAAACCAAATTCCTGCAAAAAATGAAAGGTTCAGGTCCCAAATTCCCTTATGAAAGCTGTGGGGAAAAGGTAGCAGAGCAAACTGTGCATAAAAGATGAAGTCCCATTCCTCATTTACAGGAGTTTTTAACAGGACAGAGACTCTGTTTTTAGGGGGCAGGAGCCCAGCCTGGCACACAGGGTGTGGCTGTGCCTGCTGCTGGTCCTGAGCTGCCCCACATCTCCCTCCAAGTGCCAAACACCCCCTGTCCCTGCCCTGTCCTTCTGGCAGTCCCAACCCAGCTTTTCTGGAAGCTCTAAAGAACTTTTCCACCCACGTTCTACCCCGCCAAGGGTAGATAGACTGGAGGGGGCTCACAGATTAGGGCAAGGACTGCGAGATGAAAAGCAGTGAGCTCTGCTGTCATCCCATCCCTGTCAAGTCCTTCCAGCTGCTGCTCCTCTGTTGCCACAGGATAACACCATTGATTTTCTGGAATATGTGGCTGCCTTGAATCTGGTTTTGCGGGGAAAGCTGGAGCACAAGCTGAGGTGGACGTTCAAGGTGTACGACAAGGATGGGAATGGCTGCATAGATAAACCCGAGCTGCTGGAAATCGTCGAGGTAAGTGGCATTGCCCAAACCCTTCTGTGAGCAATGCCCCTCTCTCTGTGGCAGTGCCATGGGGTGTGTGGGGCTGTGGTCAGCGGGCTCCAAGGATGCTGAGCAGAGTGCTGCCCATCCCCTGGGAGCCTCTCAGGGAGGGCAGTGCCAGGAGCTGCCCCGTGGGCAGCAGGGCTGGGAGGGTGAGCAGCAGTGCCCTGCTGCTGCTGCTGCTGCTGCTGCTGCAGGTGTGGAAGCAGGCCAGCCTGTCTGGGCCACCTCCATGGCAGGTTTGAGGTCAGCCACAAGTGCCCAGAACTGTGAGGCCACTGCTAATCCCTCTCTGGGCAGACTTTAGACAAAAGCCTTCACCCTAAGCTCCAAAGGGAGCCACGGGCAGCTGGTGCCAGGGCAGGAGCAGGGAAAGCCTGGCCCCTTTCTGTGCAGAGGGGAGCAGGGGCTGTGGGTCAGGATGTGAGCTGAGACAGGCTGGGCCTGCAGCCTGGGCACGGCTTCCCCAGCCAGCTGTGCTGCCTCTGGATGCCACAAAAAATCCCACTGAACTCTGCCTTTGTCCTTTGCAGAGAGCCCTGAGGTCTGAGCAGTGAGGGTGGGAGGGCAGCAGCTTCACAGGGCAATGGGATCATTAATGTGCAGCCAGGGCAGGGTGAGGCCCGAGCTGCCATCCCAGAGCTGGGGCTGCAGAACTTCCCAGAAAGGTTAAAGCCTTTGGAAAAGACCTTGACAGGGATGGGATGACAGCAGAGCTCCTTGCCCTAATCCGTGAGCCCCTCCAGTCTATCTACAGGCTGAAGAAGGTGTGCTGGTCGGAGGTGGAGGACAGGACCCCGCTGCTGACCCCCGAGGAGGTGGTGGACAGGATATTCCAGCTGGTGGATGAGAACGGGGACGGTGAGTCGGGGGGCACAGGCTCATTCCTGCCCCAAAGGACAGCTGGGCTTGGTTCTGCTCTGCTCCACAGGGCCAGCAGACTCTTGGTGGAGCAGGGAGAAATCTTTCCCGTTGTTATTCTAATGTAAAACACAGAGCAGTCAGGCTGGGGCAGTTTTGGTGTCCCTCTGACAGCCCCAGCAGCCAGGGCCAGGTCCCAGTGCCAGCGCAGAGCTGGTGAGGGCACTGCTCCAGCAGACTGGGACCTGCAGGACCTGCCTGGCACAGGTCCTGGAAGGGCCTGGGGAGCCCCTGCAGCGTCCAGAGTGTCCCCCTGGGGTGGGCACCCCTGGGCTGGGCACCCCTGGCTCACAGCCCCTGGCTCACAGCCCCTGGCCTGTCTTGCAGCTGCCTGGCCCCAGAGGTGTGGGCATGCCCTACGATGGTCTGATTAGCGTTTTATCTGACATCCTGCCTCCTCCTCCTCCCTTATCTCCCTCGGTGCCCATCTGTGCCCCATCTCACCCACAGGGCAGCTGTCTCTTGACGAGTTCATTGATGGAGCCAGGAAGGACAAGTGGGTGATGAAGATGTTGCAAATGGATGTGAACCCCGGGGGATGGATCACTGAGCAGAGGAGAAAGAGTGCTTTGTTCTGAGAGAATTCGGCTGAAATGGTGATGCTGAGTCCCAAGTGCGGCCCCTCCTCTACCTGGTAGCGACTTGACTTCCCTTTTAATTCGATCTCAGCATCCAGATGAAAACCGGAGTGGTTTAAGGAGTCATCTCTGATGTAAAACCCGCGTGCTGAGCTCTGCTGGCACCCAGGGACTGTTTCTGGCCCGTGAATAAGTCTTGCTGTGTGCCCGATTCTGTGTTTGCCAGCTCTGCTTTGTGGTTACACCCCAAGGAACAAACTTCGTGCGGCAGATGCTGAGCGGGATTGGGGCTGGTGGCAGTGAGGGACAGAGCCAGCAGTGCTGTCCCCAGCTGTCCCCAGCCCCACAGCCAGCAGTGCTGTCCCCAGTGCAGGTTTTTTGGGGCTGGCAGGGCTCCCTGCTGCTCTCCCAGCCCCGCACCAGCACAGCAGCTCCTGGCTGCTCAGGGCTCTCTGTGTGTGTCCCGGGGCATTCACTGCTGCCCGGTCAGATCCCTGCAGGCCAGCACAGACCCCCCAGCACACAGAGCCCAGGGAAACAAGGTCAGGGCTGGGCAGGAGCAGCAGCAGCTCCTTCCTCCCCCTCCCGGGGACCAGAGGCTGCTCCTGCTGCCTGCCCAGAGCCTGAGGGGCTGAGGGATGCTGACTCCAAACGCTGACATTTCCCAGCCCCTCTCAGAGCCCAGAACGGCCCAGCTGAGACCAGCCCCTGATCTTTGGAATCTGCTTTTCCTGCCCTGGAGGGGTGGGTGAGCCCAGGGAGCTGCGGGGCTGTCACTGCACTGAGAAAGGCTCAGTGTGGCAGCAGAGATGAGGAAGAGCAGAGTTTTGCTTGGCAGTGCCTCTGCAATGAGAGGATTTGTGCTGCTCCACCGGCAGGACCGCAGAATCAGAAATCATGGATGGTTTGGGTTGGGAGGAACCTCAAAACTCCTGGATTTCCAAGCCCCCTGCCCTGGGCAGCGATGCCACATCAGATTGCTCCAAGCCCTGTCCAAACCGGCCTTGGAAAGTGGAAAAAGTGACAAAAATTCCAGTACAGTGGTTTTACACTGGACTTAATTTAGCCCCAGACTGCAGATTCAGAATTTACACAAGTTGCAGGCTGAGCTCTGCTGTTCTACCCCGTGCTTCTACACAGACCTATGTGGGAAAAGAATTTGGGCTGAATCAATATTTTGGTTCACCTTTATTGCACTTACTGGTTCATTCGAAAGAATAAACCCCCCCAGGAAAACAACATGAGCTTGTCTGTTCCATTTTAATTTTCCTATGGGATCAGTGGGCCAGGTCATACCAATGAAAAGATTTACAACCCCTCTTTTGTGGCCTTTAATTAGGACTGTAGTAGCTGTCATTAACTGATTAGTTTGCTGGTTTGTGGTCTTGTCAGTTTACCCAGTGCTGAAATTCCATGGGGAAGTGCTCAGGATTAGACACAATCATTGCTGGGGTTCCCATGGTGCACATTCCCACTTGGAAACAGCCTTTCAGTGAGTTCTCTGTGAGCTCTGAGCAGTTTGGGGTGTGCTGATTGGATTTGTGCTTTCTGCTGCTCCGAGGCAGCTGCTCAAAGCTCCCTCTGGTCAATAGTTTATCAGCGCAGGATCTCAAAGAAAAATCTGACTTCTGACTTGAGAGCCTGGGTGAAAACATTCACTTTTATTGATTTTCCAGCTTGTGAAAAAATGTTTTCATTGGAGGATACAAATCTCTGAGAATTCCTCACATTTCAGCATCTCAACCAAGGTAACACACCCTGCTCCTCGCACGGGTTTAGAGAGGCTCTTTAGTTCATAGAATTGCATTTTGCTGGTTCACTGAAATGCTTCAAACTCTCCATTTCTGCTCAGCTGGCCAGCCCAGGCTCTGCAGGGGCTGCCCAGGCCAGCAGCCCTCCCCTGGTGAGAACTTGGACAGATGTCTGTAGAAGTTTTGTAAAACACGACTTGAATAAAGAAATATTTATTAAGACCCCTTATTTCCCTGAATCTGTTTGTTAATTAGGTGAAGAGCTGTGTAAGCACCTGACTGAAACTGCAGCCTGTGAGTGCGATATATTGAATTTAGGGGAGGAGCTGGTGAGCAGCTGACAGATAAGGCAGAGGTGATGATGCTGTTGCAGAGGCAGAGTAGGGAAGGAGCCTCTTCTGTTTAACTTCCCTGTGATGACAGCAAAATCCGTGAGGGGATAATTAAAGAAAAACAAACCAGTGTTTCTCAATGGAACTGGAACTGAAGCTGCATCAGGTGCCCGCAGTGTAACCCTGCCAGGACCTGAACGGGACAGGAGCTGGGTGCTTCCAGGTCCTGTGGGATGCAGGGGCAGGGCTGTGTTTGTGCCAGAGCCGGCAGAACCATGGAAAGTCGCTCCTCTTACCAACTGTGTAATCTCTGGTGAAGAACTGGCAGGGTGCTTTGGCTATTTTAAATCCCGGGCTACAAAAGCCCCGATCTCTGCCCGGCCCGTTCGCAGCAGGCTGTTGATGTCAGGCCTTTGCATAATCCGTTTTCCAGACTTAGGGCCCAGCTCCAATTGGATTTGGCTGATCGGATTTCCTTCTGCTCTAAACTGGGAGGCAGGAGAGCTCGGAAAAGGCAAATGCCACTTGACTTTTCTGGGCTGCCATCTGCTCCGTGCCCGCGCTGCGTGGGAGCGAAGGCGCAGAAATCAGGTTGGGAAGTTGGAGCTGAGGCTGGTGCTGGAAGGGACAGGGAGCAGCAGCCAAGGAGCATCACATCCTGAAATCTCCGGGAGATGCATCCCCGAGCAGCAGGGATGGCAGCTGGGGAGGGGCGAGGGTCCTGCGGGCAGCTCTGAGCTCAGCTGAGGTTTGGGAAGGGGCGGCTCTCCGGGCTCTGTGTCCGGGACATTCCCGAAGCACCTGTGGGCAGGTTCCCCCGGAAAATGTCCTGTGGAAAGGCAGAGTGACCTCCTCAGCCCCGAGCTGCTCACTGCAGGCGCTGCCTGTGCTTTTCTTACAGCGCCTCTGCTCTGCTGTGCCATGGCAAAATTCCTTTCCTTTCTTTCCTCCCTTTCCTTCTTTTCCTCCCTTTCTTTCCTTCCTGCCTTCCTGCCTGCCGTTCCTTCTTTTCTTTTCCTTCTTTCCTTCCTGACCTTCCTTTTCCTTTCCTTCCTCATTCCCTTTATCTTCTGTCTTTTCTTCAAACTTAAGTGCGCCTCAGGAGCCTGGAGAGTGTCTCAAGTGCATCACCCTTAAAGATCCTGCCTGATTCTGTGACCCGGGGCTGTTTTGGGGGATGCTCTGGGGTTTGGGGACCCGGGGCTGTTTTGGGGGATTCTTTGGGGTTTGGGGTCCCGGGGCTGTTTTGGGGGATTCTTTGGGGTTTGGGGTCCCGGGGCTGTTTTGGGGGATGCTCTGGGGTTTGGGGTTTCGGGGCTGTTTTGGGGGATGCTCTGGGGTTTGGGGTCCCGGGGATATTTTGGGGGATGCTCTGGGGTTTGGGGTCCCGGGGCTGTTTTGGGGGATTCTCTGGGATTTGGGGTCCCGGGGCGATCCCGGCGCGTTCCGCTGCTCCCGGCGGGGCCGGCAGGGGGCGCTGCGGGACGGGCGGACACGGCGGGAGCGGCGGGGGCCCAAAAACCGGGAATGGGATGGGATGGGATCCATGGGATGGGATGGGATGGGATGGGATGGGATGGGATGGGATGGGATGGGATGGGATGGGATGGGATGGGATGGGATGGGATGGGATGGGATGGGATGGGATGGGATCGGGACAGGGATGGGATGGGATGGGATGGGATGGGATGGGATCGGGACAGGGATGGGTCGGGGACAGCCCTTTCAGAACAACTTTGGCTTTATAACCAGAGATCTGACTGGTCAGAGCTGCTCCTGGCTGCCCTTGGGTGCAGAGGGCAGCTCGGGCAGGGCTGGGGGTGTCTGTGCCCAGGGAGGGAGCTCCGAGAGCCCAGGCTGAGCTCAGCTCCCTCCTGTGCTGCTGCAGAGCCAAAGGGCTCTGAGCTTGGTGCTGCTCATCTCTGGGGAGTTGGTTCTGCTGCAAGACGAGAGTCACACTGTGAGTAAAGAGCTCGGCCCACCCCTGATGAGGGGTGCAGCTGCTCCCTCTGGCAGTGCCAAGTTGGCCATCACGGGCTCCTGTGGTTTGTGAGCCCGAGAACAACCCCAGAGCTGTTTCTGTTTCTCTACCTGTGAGAGCCACTCAATCTGCCCTGCTAGAAACAGAAGGGCTGATTGAGAGAGAAGAAGCGTGACCTGAAATAATATTGTAAAACATCTTTATTAGCTCACCTAATAAAGGACTGGAAGTACAAAAGCTTCCAGGTAAAACTCCGTCCGGTGAAAAAGACGCACAGAAGAAATGGTCAGGAAGCTGCTTATGGATTGCAAACACCCAGTGCTGCATAACAAAACTCTCAGCCTGGCAAGAAACCCCTCCTGGTGTCCTGTGCTGCCCCAGCAGGCCTGGGAGAGCCCCAGGGGTGAGGCTGCCCCTGCCCCCTGTGCCCGGGGGCTGCCAGGGCTGCCAGGGCTGCCCTCCCGGGCACTGCCCCGATCCCACCCGGGCTCTGGGCCTGGCAGGGACCCAGGGGTACCACGGGCGCTCTGAGCTGAGCCTCACCCTCTGTAGCAGCTGCCCCTTCCAGAACCCACACGGCCAAGGGGGACAAAACCTCCCGGGGCTCCTTTGCCAGGTGGGAAACACGAACAGTCCACAGCTCCCTTCAGGTTCCTGCACTGCTGGTTCTCTTATCTGGAAGGACTTCCTTCTTTCCTTCCTTCTTTCCTTCCTTCTTTCCTTCCTTCTTTCCTTCCATCTTTCCTTCTTTCCTTCCTTCCTTCCTTCTTTCCTTCCTTCTTTCCTTCCTTCTTTCCTTCCTTCTTTCCTTCCTTCTTTCCTTCTTTCTTTCCTTCTTTCCTTCCTTCCTTCTTTCCTTCCTTCCTTCCTTCAGATGCTTCAGGGAGAAACATTTCCTTACAGTCCAGGAGGTTGTTAAAAAAAGGCACCATTCAATGTTTTTAATGCTTTCAAACAAGGAAAAGCCCCTGCATTCACCCCTCTCCTTTTTCTAGCTCATAAATGTTTTATCACACTGTCACTAATCACTGCTGAGCGAATAACGAGGGGTGAAGGAAGGAGTGACCAGAACTGCTGAGCTCTGGAAATGCAGAAGGAAGGAGAAGGTTTAGATCTGCTTTTCCAGGACCCCTCTCACCGGGGCCAAGGCACGGGCAGCCCCTGCTTGGTGCCTCGGGGGGGATTTTGGGGGTCCTTGGCCCGCCCAGGCTGGTGCTGCCCCCCTGCCCGGGGAGCACCCACTGTCCCCACACTGAGCCCAGCACAGCACCCAGGGGCCCCTCGGCCAT